ACATATTAACCCAGTATTACACCAAGTTGAAGTGGCTCCATCCAACCAACCGCCCGCCCTCTGTACTTCCTTGCTACCTTTCTATGCTAAGCCATCAGAACTCAGCGTCCTTCCTATATTTTTCACAGCCTACATTTTAAATATTCCATTCAATCCTATCCCACTAGATCCCATACTTCTGACTTCTATCCACCTCCTCACCAAACTAGTCATGGGAAAAGGAGGGTTGCCTTAGTTAACAGACTGGAAGGGCTTCGGGTAGGAATATTTCGATGGTGGTTGGAGCTAGTATGAACCCAGAAAACATAATTGCTGGTGACATCTCTATTAAGAAGAACAATACCTATAATAATAATAATAAATGGAGCTAAACTAGAAATAATGAATATTGTTTTTGAAGTTGAGAAGTAGAAAAAATACAATTTATTAAACGAAAGGTTTACCTCTATTTTAAATATTCCATACAATCCTGTCCCACTAGACCCCATACTTCTGACTTCTATCCACCTCCTCACCAAACTGCTGCGTTTGACAAATCCTTTATAATTGAAGCCGTCTCCATTTGGAATACCATTCCTCCTGATATCCGACATGTGCAATCAGTTTCCTCATTTAAATCTCTCCTTTTTAAGCACCTGCTTCTTTCCCAACCCGATTGATCATGAAAAGTAGATAAGAGAACTTTTTAAGTTCCCCCAGAAATGATTTTGTTTACTTATGTTATTTTATTTTCACATGTTTGTATTATATTTATCTGTTTGTATTTAGTGTTTTTGTTTTATTTTTCTTCCAATATTTTAATTTTAATGAGAATTGTAAATATTTAATTTAATTTTGTGGCCACACAGGCATTTCCTCGGTATCTATAATTTGTCCTAAAGGGACAACAGTCCCAGGATAATAAAAATCTATTTTCATTTTCATTTTCATTTCATTGCACTTACCTCACTACTTTAATTAAAAATAGTTTCCTCCTTAAATTGATTAAAATTTTTCCAGAATCCTTCTGTTTCATTTGCTTCCTTAGTCATCAATGATCCCAAGTACGAAAATCATGATACTACTTTGATATTTTCTCTACCTAACTTACAGTCATCAGTTTGGCTTTGCTGATATTTATTTCGAGGCCAGCTCTTCCTGCCTCCCTTTTCAAGATGACATATGCATCTTCGAATGTCTGCCTGCTTCTTCCCATAATCACTTCATCATCAGCATAGGCTTTAATTGTAGTGATTTATTGATGACTGTGCTATTACCCTCTATACGTGCAGCATTGTTAAAAAATTTATAAATAAGTAATCTTTTTTCGTTCATCTAAATTCCCTTGAGTGTTTTTTCTGGGATGTGGATGCTGTTCCAGAAATTTAATAAATAATTGAGTGCCACAAATTTTTTTTAGTCCGAAAAGAGTGCCAGTGATAAAGAAGACTAGAAATATTAATATAAATATAAATATATATTTATATTTCATTTTTGGTATTTTTATTTGTTTAAACACTGATGCATCCACAAATTTTAATATTGCCATAATCTATGCAATTAAATGTTAAATAATAACAGCACTAGCATTTATGAAAACCACACATGCAAATATATGTACATTATGTTTTCAGAACACGCTTGCCCCTCATCTATGATATATCAAATATGCCTGTGTATTGTTTAGATGACTATCTTAACATTTTACCTATCTAGAGGGCATGCTCATGTTTCTTTGGTAGTACTTGGCCTCACATTACCAACCTCACTACCCGAGTCTCTGGCTCATTACCCGAGGGCACTCACGTCTCTTTGGCAATTCTCGGTCTCTCCTTATCAACCTCTTTTTTTCTCCTTTAGTTAATAATCAATTTTTTAACTGTTTATATTTAACAATATTTTATTATTATTTACAATGTGAAATATTAATTTTTTTAAATAAACAAAATTCTATTGAATATTTAATAGTTGACCGTTGCATTATAAAGGAAGGAGATGGTCCGGGGTTGCGGTCATAAATAGGCTAAATAGTGGTAAAACTATTTTATTGAAAGCCTAAAAATTTTATTGGCTTTCAAACAAAATTATAGATACTTTATTGAAAACAATTTAAAAAATGACTATTTAAGCCCTCCTAGGCTCCACCAATGAAGAATAAACCTACTTTAAATTAAATACCACTTAATAATTCCTCAACCTAATAAGTTAAATGAAAATTGTTAGTGCCATTTTCGAGAAAATTGAAAAATATCTGAAATTAATGATATAAACTGGCACTTCCATGACTAAACAATACTTTCCATTTAAACTATTTGACAATTGTTTAAATCAATTGTAGTATTATTGTAGTTTAAATCAATTGTAGAAATTGGACGGAAATCATTAAGAGTTGATCGATTGGAAGTCTTCTTCATAGGGCGACCTAGTGCGGTTTTCCAGGATGTAGGGAAGGTAGCATTTTGTAGTGAGTAATTGTAGATATGGTAGAGGATTGGAAGGATGGATGGTAGTGAGTCTTTGATCAGTCTGAATGGGATGTTATCGAGTCCATAATCATTGGTTTGCGATTTGAATGAAGTTGAGGAGGTCAACAGGTGTAATATGAGAAAAAAGAAGTGATCAGGATTAAAATTAAAAGGGAAATACATAGGAGCTGGTATGGTCGCAGGAGGTGAGGATGAGAAGGAACAGGAGACAAAGTGAGCATTAAGGTCATCGGCAGAAAAGGAAATGAACTGGCTTTGAGGTGGGTTACAAATGGTCAGTTTTTTTAGGATAGCCCATTTGGCCTTGGAGTTTGGGGTGTTGGATAAGGAATGATGGAAATAACAGGATTTGGCTCGGCCTATAGCAAACTGGATGCTGTTTCAAAGTTGCTTGAAGGCGACATAGTCTTCCGGGAGTTGGGTACGTTTAAATCGCCGTCTTGCAGCATCTCTTCTTCTCATGAAATCTCTCAGAGCTGGTGTCAGCCAAGGAGCAGGATGTCGGATAGTTTTAGTTAGGAGAGGAGCATGGCAGCCGAGGATGGCATGAAGATGGTTGGTTGGTAAGGATTTCTACGATGTCGTCAATGGATTTTGAGAAATAAATGGGATCACACTGGGTAGTGTCGAGATCCTGCGACAGGGCTTCATAGGTGAGGGAATTGAGGTTTCGGAAGGATATGGTTCGAGGAGGATAAAATTCATCAAAATGAGCTAAGAGTGACTGAGCATTGACGTGGCAGATTAAAAGGATGTTAGAGTTACTGTTTACTTTAAAAGTTACTGTGTACGAAGCAACCCTATGTAGTAGGGCAACATTACTTTTAATAAAGTATTTCTCTCTCTGGGAGAAGGAGGGATGGCTTGGTTAATAGACTGGAAGGGCTTGGGGTAGGAATATTTCGATGGTGGTTGGAGCTAGTATGAACCCAGATAACATAATTGTTGGTGACACCTCTATTAAGAAGAAACATAAGTATAATAATAAACAAAGCTAAACAAGAAATAATAAATACTAATATTCTAGTTGAGAAGTAGAAAATATACAATTTATTAAATTGTCAAAACAATACTTTCCTTACTAGATATTTCATATATAGGTAAGTGAAAGTAAAAAACTAAAGTGTGTGCTTTAGACCACACGATAGAAGTGAAAACAAGTAAAAAATAAGATCAATAATATGAAATATAAATTATAAATTAAAGCTCATTATAAAGAGGATGAAATGCTAAAAATTTCCCTCGCTTACAGTATTCAGGTATGATTTTTAGTTTCTGAGATATTTTAATCCATATCTTCCATGACCCGCAGAGGCTAGCTTAGTGCAAAGCTGGTGGTGCAAATACCGTAATGAAAAATAAAATAAGCAGCGTAATAATCATGTGAGTGCTTGTCATGTGAATATGTCTAGGTCTGATGGCGAGTTAATCACGACAACGTGATATGTGATACAGGCACTGCACCAGATTTTTGATTATGATTTAATATTTTTTAAAAATTGTATTGTATGTTAAAAGCGGACTTTTTGTCACTTAAAATTACTGACTCTGAGAATTGGGAATGATGGGTAGGGTTGTAAGGTACTATATAAAGGCTGAGGGATAGGAGGAGGCTGGTCAGGTAGGAATGGTTAGAGGATGGTATCATCAAATTGGTATTGAAATCTCCAGTGAGGATAATATTGGAGTAGGAAGGGATTAAGTTGTAAAGGGAGGTCTCAAATAAATCATCAAAGGGAATTCTGGGAGGGCGGTAAATGACTGCCAAGAGAAGGGGTTATGATGGAGTTAGGATTTCAGTAAGATGTTCTAGGTGTGGGGAATCGGTATGGGAAGAACAATGAAGGAATTTGAATTTAAGGATGTCATGAACAAAGAGACCTACACCACCACCTGTATGATCCACTCAGTCGACACTATTTTTTCCTTTTGGACTCTCTAACACGGTGTCGTGTTAATTTTGAATAATAGCCCGTTACAGAGATAATGAAATGCTGAACAATACCCTCACTTACTGTATGCAGGTCCGATTTTTTGTTTCCAAATATTGTAATTCTGATTTTTGTTAAAACTCGTTATCATTTGGTTATCGACACTATTTTTTCCTTTTGGCCTCTTTTTTTCCTCTTGGACCGTTTGTGGCTAAAATAGCTAAACCCTACATGTAGTATCAGTGATTTAGAATAATCATTAATAGTTTTCAAATCATTCTTCTTTTTTATTTGGTTCCTTGGGGGAGGGGGGGGAGCTTATGTTACGAAATGAGCTAGCTGAGCTTCGCTGAGTTAAGGATTCTTTTAAATCATTCTTATTTCTGTTTCATTTCCGTGATATCTCATTAATTAATATGGATGATTCATTCTGAAAATTAAGTCACTTCATATCCTGATCTTCCATAATTTTTATTAATCCTCCATGAGCTGTAGTACCCTAAACAACAATTATCTTTTAAAATATATTGTCAACATTGGATCTTAGGTTTCCCTACCCCTGTTCCTTTAAAATATCAAGTTACTGAGAGTTCAAACATTTCAGGATTTCTGGAAATGCTGCAAGCAATAAAAATATTCATGGAACTGTTTCCGAACAGCTGAAGAAAAATTTTGCTGCCAAATCAAAATGGAAAGTAAGTTATCCTTATTACTGTTCTTTTGTGTGCTGATTAAACGTACATGCTTCATATTTATCATTAGCTCCATACTAGATAAAACATGATATGTGATTTTCTTGGAAAGCTTGATTTAACTAGTCCAATTTCCTGATTTATCTGTTTAAAGAACTAAATTTTAATTACCATTATGTTTAGAGTTTAAATTGTATTTTAAACATAACTGTACTAGTTAATATAGTTATTTTTTGGTTTGTTATGGAAAATTTATGTTTCAGAATTTTACTATATGTTATAAACTTTTAACGTCTATTTCATTAACAAACTTGGAGCCTAATATGATAACAAATGTTGATATACTATCAAAATTCAGAATTGAATAAATTAAAAAAAAAAAAAAAACATGTGGACAATTGTAACCTTAATAATACGTCTAATTTAGTAATTATGCATTTATATATTGAGTAGTCACTGATTTCCTAAACGTATATCCAATAGGAATCAGTTCTAAGATTTAACTATTTAAAAGAGAAGTTTTTTTTTATAGATTTTCATGTTTTTTCACTTTAGTCTTCTATGATTCATTCTTTCCAAGTTAAAGAAGCTGGACTTTTCTTACTACTCATTTACCCTCAAATCTTAATATTTTATCTGATGTCTCTCTACTGCTTCTGTTCATTCTGGAGCTAGTCTGTTATATTATATCTGTCTAACAATGGATCATGTCCTATTCTTTAGAATAATCTAAATGCCATAATATTCATTACAAAATATCAGGTAATAATTATACGAATGGCATGAGTATAAATATATACATATCTAATTATGTAAGAATATAATGGCAGATCACATTGGGGTAAGGATCCGTGAGTACCTAGTTTAGAACATTATGGGCTTGAGGTTCACTTGGGTTAGTTCATATTTATTTCTCGGTAGCCACAAGGAATGAATCGTGACACTCCCCCTCATGTTAGTATGCGCTGGTAATCTCTATGTAGCTGTGCTGTTAGAGGTTGGCAAGAGAACCACCAGACCAGTTACTCCCACCATTACCAGTACCAGTACATTTGAAAGTATGTATACTGTTACAATTTTAGCCATCTGTATAGTTCTGAATATTTTTCTTTGATAATAAATTTGTTTAAATTCATTAAATCTTAAGGAAATAGTTAAATCTTGGAGGGGTGGGGAAACGGAGCAGGTTTAAAACTACTTTCGAAAAAAGAAGTCAATAATAATTTTAGTATGATATACTTACTTTCTGACGGTCTCTATAGTTCGAGGTGGACCTTGGCCTCCTTCATGATCTTTTTCCAATCCTCTCTATCCTTCATTCTTATCCTCTAATTTACCACTCCCATTCTCTTTAAATCCTCTTCCACGTCACTTTTCCAACATTTTCTCAGTCCTCTTCTTTTCCTTTTTCAGGGAAATTCCTCCCTAAGTATCTTTTTCATTGCTTATTCATCTGGCAGTTTTTTCACATGTCCTAGCCAAGTAATTCTTCTATTTTTAATGAAGCGTACAATATCCTTGTGCTTCAATAGTTCATCCAGCTTCTGATTTGACCTTATCCTCCATTCTTCTTGTATGCATAGGGGACCAAAAATTTACATAAAAAACATCTCATGATTTTTCTTTCGAAAATCCTTAGTGCCTTCTGGTCAGCTACTTTAAGCATCCAGGCTTCGGCTCCATAGCACACAACTGGTTGAACCAAGGATTTGTACATTTTGAGTTTTGTGACTTCGGAGAGGAGTGTTGATTTAAAAAGCTTTAGCATACTGACGTACTTTAGTCTATTGCCTGCCATGATTCTTCCTCTTATTTCCGGGCTAATCAAGTTTTCGCTATTGACTTGCGCCCCAAGATACATTCTACAACCAATGTCGATAGAACCTCAACTATTGCCACTTTTCTTCTACTTATAATTGTAATGTTGTCAGCATAACCCAATATTTGTCTTGTTCGGCATGCTAAATTACCACCTGGCGTGATCCCTTTAACTGCATTTTGTAGCACCAAGTTAAATGGAATTGCTGAGAGTGCGTTTCCCTGCCTTACTCCAGAATTAAAGTGGAAGATTTCCCTAACCTGATTGCCAATTAATACTTTAGCTTGTGTGTTCAATATAGTTATTTCAATTAGATGGATTAGTTTATACAGGATACTATATTGAGGCAATGCACCAAGAAGTTGTTTTTTTTTAATTTGGTCTAAGGCTTGTTTAAAATCTATAAACAGTATATGTTCATCAATATTGTGCTCATAATACTTTTCGAGCACTTTTTATAAAATAAAAATCTGATAGCTAGTACCTCTGTTAGGCTGAAAACCACACTGGTAATCCGTTATGATTCTTTCTGAATACAATTTTAGTCTTTGTTCCAGAAAGCTGGATGAAATTCTATATACAGCATTTAAAAGTGTTATTCCCCGGTAGTTTTCACATACTATTGTATCACCTGTTTTGAATATTGGGAAAATTAAACCTGAGCACCATTCCTTAAGTATTTCCCCATCAAGCCATACCCTCAGCATCAGATTATATTATCTCTGTGGGAAAACATCTCCACTACAATTAATAATTTCTGTTGATATACTGTCCTCTCCAGGAGCTCTATTATTTCTTAATCCTTCTAATGTGTCCTCAAAATCCTCAAAGGAAGGCAGTTCAATATCAGGATCAACTTTCGTATCTGGCTCACAGGCATCATTGATGTTCTCATTGTCATTTTCATTTTCTGACCATCTATTCATCACTTGCGTACCCTCTCCCAACAGTACATCATCCTTACTACGAAAAACATTCCTTTTTAGCCTAAAAGTGTTTCTCGTTTTCCTGGCTGCCTGATAAAAATTTTCTTTCCTCCCTATTTTCTCTCATTTCTTCCATGTTTTCAATCCTTTTTCTCAGCCATTCCCTCTTTTTCCTTCTTCAGATTTTATTTTCTTTCTTCCTACTAACGGTATATCTATCTCTGTTATTCCTGGTATCCCGCTGAAACATCTGCATTCTTTGGTCAATTGCATTTGTACGTTCTTCATCGAACCATTCTGAATTTACCCTACTACTTGTCTCTCCCAAAACCTGCTCCACTGCTCCTTGCACTGTTTTTCTTATACCAGACCACTTATCTTCAATGTCATCCTTTGCATCACATTGTTGCAGCTTATCTGTCACCTCTTCCTCAAAACTCTTCTTTGCTTCATTACACCTGTGTTTTTCCACATTCCATTCTTTCCTTTCTACTCTACGGCCTTTTTTAGCATTTGCGATCCTGTGCCTAAACAATGCTCTCTCTAGAAAGTGATCTCTATCACAGTTTTGGCCCTCTGCATGGTCTGACATCAATTATGCTGGATGCTTGTCTTGCGGAGATAGTAGTGATCAATTTGGTTCGTCTCCTTCCTCCAGGTGCTTTCCATGTGCCAAGATGTATACTTCTGTGCTAAAAACTTGTGCTATTAATTTGGAGGTTTCTCGATGCCGCAAATTCAGCCAATCGGTGCCCATTTTCATTTGTTGTATTGTGTAGTATAAATTTTCCTGCCACACCTTTGATGTAATCCTCTTTCCCAATCTGGGCATTAAAATCTCCTAGGATTACTACTGCATCATTTCTAGAGGTTAAATCAAAGATACTAGCCAATTTATCATAAAACTCACCCTTTTCTTCCTTGTTTTTATCTTCTGTGGTGCATGCACGGAGATAAGAGTTATATTTCTAAATTTTCCCTTTAGCCTTGCCTTGCAGATTCTATTGTTGATATGTTCATAATCAATTAAGGACCTTCTGAGTTTCTTACTTATTATAAATCCTGTTCCAATGTGACCTTTGCTTTCTTCTGATCCACTATAAATGAGAGAGTAGTCCCCTTTATCTATATGTTCTTGTCCTTTCTATCTTATTTCCTGTAATGCAGCCACATCAATATTAAATTTCATTACCTCATCAGCAATTTCTTTCATTTTTCTTGGCTGAAGCATAGTTCTTACGTTCCATATAGCCAAGGTCAAACATTTCCAGTTATTTGTTTTCTTTGATTGTAGGTTTCGTAACCAGAAGTTTTTTTATGAGATGGGGGTGGTTGGCCCCACGCTGAATCCCCATACCAGGAGGACCAGTGGCTTTGATTTTGGGGTGCCCTTCCGTAGGAAGTTGCCTTCACTTCAGCTGTAGAGCTCTCCCTGCCCTTCAGCAGTATACAAGCTAACTATGTCTCAGGAAGCTGCCGTTGACTCCAGTAGAGTTTGTCCGCAACCGTTCCTTAGGTGCAAGCCCTACTGCCAACTTGCATAATTGGATAACACCTCTATTAAAATTATCCAGAGAGAACCACGGGAAGTTAGAATTCGGATTTTGCTCCCCAGTATGATATAAATATTGTATTTATAATCACACATTTAATGGAGCACAATTTCTTGATAAAGTAACCAAAAGAGTTTTTCTATTCCACCTTTCATTAACTATTTTGCTATTCGAATATGTCAATATATAACAAATGGATTTTAAATACCAGTTTCCAAAATAACTGCTGTTTTGATACTTTTTCTTAGTATTTTATGCCTAGAATATTTTATATGGTTACATTTTTATGTTATCTAATAGATTTTAAGATGCTAATTTTGTTATGTATTTTTTCTAGCAAGCTTATCATGCAGCCACTGTTATTCGTCAGATGCAGCGTATGGCTCTTGGAAATGCTGCTGGATCAAATTTTTCCAACCAATCAGTTAACGGGGTTGTACAGTAAATTTTCAGTTTTTAAAATTATATCTGTTGTTATGGAAGAGTATGTGTTAATCAGTGTTTTAATATTGATACATATCGTTTATATAAAAAGTATCTAATGAACCCTTAATTTAATTAATTATTTTTCTTCTATTCATGTTTGGGATTTAATGAAATATGTCTTTTCTTAATATTTTATTTTATATTTAAATTTTATACTTTAAAAACATTTAAACTAATTGTCTATCATGCATTTTAGGGAATTATATGCATTCCACAAAACATTTCGTAACATATAAAAGGCAATGTTTAAATTACTTTGAAACTATTGTGCCAAATCGGTACAGTAAAAATTGGGCCTAGTGCAATGAAATTTAGTAATGTAAAAATATAACAAAAACAAATTAATTACTTTTATCACATCCTAAACTTTGAAGGCTGTGTATAAAATGAGTCTCAAGTGGAACTATCCTACTAAGTGTGATTCCATTTAGTTCCACAAGCTTTATTAACAAATTTCAAGTAAAAAGTGTGGTTATAAGTGCTTAATTGTCTTCTTTAGTCTATTGAAGTATCACCGTTATTGCTAAATGTTTTTCTATATATTTATGAATAAATTTAATTTTGTATAATATTAATTACTAATTTCAAGTGTAAAATTTTTGATAGTTTGAATTATTCAACTAGTAGAATCATTAGATTTTATATTTATTAAAGGTTTAACAATTGAGAACACTGCATGTGTATATGAATGTGTTTGTATGTATGTATATATGTTAGTCTCTGTCTATATATATATATATCCTCGCATACATATATGTTTTGTTTAAACACGCATGTATGAGTCGGTACTATTATGTACAGATGTGTATGTATATATACCCTGGATCTTTTATTTAACAGATAATCATGGAAACCAGAAGTTGTTTGCTAAGAAAAAGTATCTGCTAACATAAAGTCTAAAAATTCCGAATATTATTTTGGAAAAACATTTGAATATGTAAGAGTAAGTAAATATATATAATGTTGTAGAACTTTTTCTTGTCCAAGCAAACACAGTTTTCTTTCCTTCTAATTTTGTTTTCCATATAAGAGAACTTTGAGTGAAGAAACCACTGAAAGAAAGTCCTGAAATATTAACTTGGCTTTTAGTTAATTGATTCGAATGTTAAATCAAGCAATTTATACTGTTTCAAAGTGAAAGCAATTCAACAAAGTGCTGGTCAGAATGAAAGTGGAGAATGACAAATAAGTAAATGACAACTATAATTACAGCATGTGGGAAAAATTCATAGAATCCATGATGGATAATGGTGTGGAAATGATTGGCCCCTGTTATAATTTGAGAAGATGTTTGGTTGGGGGTGCAGTCGATATATAATACTATTATATGATATAGTATTTTATAATGACTGCACCCCCGACCAACTTCTTCTCAAATCAGTAATTGAAATTAAAGATGTCCATTTAGAGAAGTTTCAAGGCATATATATATATATATATATATATATATATATATATATATATATACATATATATATAATTGTGTCTGTGTGCTCATGTATGCGTACATGCATGTTTCTGTGTGATTCATACCACCCAAATAAAAATGTGAGGTTTAGTGTAAATAAGATTTTATTTTTCAATTATCAGCAATTATTATAGATTTTTTTTTTAATTTCTAAGTGGTAATTTATATATATTTAGAATGTTTCTCTATTTGGTGGTAGGTAGACTAGTAGAGTTTCTGATGATAGATATTCCTGTGATTAATAATATCAGTTTGATATAAATTTGTTTTGTGATTTCATTTAGATATGGCATAGTAGTTTTCCACTTGGGGCAATATAATAAGTTGCCATTATTTGCAATATTTTATTGTAGTTTTGTTTTCCAGTCTTCTCTGCTCAAGTAGTTTTTCTCAAGTGAAATTATAAACTCAATCTATAAATTGATTATTAATTTTAATTGAAATGAAATTTGACTTTTTAAAAAATATTAATATATTAATTTATCCTGTTGTATTTTTATTCCATAGAATCTTTTTACTGAATATGTATCTTTTTTATTGAGCTGCATTTATCAATGGGCTGGGAGGGAGAAAGGAGATAGAGGGGAGGAAAACAGTTACCATTATGGTCCATTTTAAAATTCATATCTTGAAATATTAAAATATTTATGTATTCATACAACACAAATTTTAGTGAATAATAAAAGACATTTTAATCTTAAATCATAATTAATTGAAAAATCCTAAGCCATGCTAATATATTTATATTTTTCATATACCTGCTCAGTAATCCTTTCATCTTATAATCTTGCTTATTTCTATAATTAATAAATTAAATTAAAAAATTGAATATTTAATAGTTGACCGTTGCATTATAAAGGGAGATGGTCCGGGGTGGCGGTCTTAAATAGTCTAAATAGTGGTAAGACTATTTTATTGAAAGCCGACGTTTCGACCCGACTTAGCAGGTCTTCTTCAGGGAGGTGTGTTCAGCTAGGAGTTTCACTTAGAACTCATTCAGTTCTAAGTGAAACTCCTAGCTGAACACACCTCCCTGAAGAAGACCTGCAAAGTCGGGTTGAAATGTCGACTTTCAATAAAATAGTCTTACCACTATTTAGAATATTTAAGACCGCCACCCTGGACCATCTCCTTCCTTTAAATTAAAAAATAAATAACAGATTTTAAATAAATGCTTTTTAATTCTTATCAGATGATTAAAAACAATATATAAATAAGTTGTTCATTTCATAAGCATAAGACTTATGCATAATGCTTAATGAGTCTTGCAAATTCATTTTTATAATTCTAATTTTTTTTTTTAAATAATGTGTGTTGTTCTGTTATACATGAACTTATTATGCTCTTATATCAAGAAGAAGTTAGTTGGGTGGGGGTATGAAGAAGTTTTACATTTTCTGTGTTTTCTCTTTTTATAGCATCCCATACAAACTTCTGTATTACATCTATGGTGAACAATATGATGCTTTTATATGGTTTAATTGAGATAATATAGTTATTTGTTATTATCAGTTTATATTTTTATAATACTATTAATATCCTTTTATGATTGTATTTTCATTATTTCTATTTTTACCATTTAATTTCTTCTTGAGTTCATAATTCAACCATTTTTTATGTATTCATATAATTTTGTTGAAAATTTGTTGTTATATTGTTATGTTTACTTTATTTTACTTACATTATAATTGACATCTAAGCAAATAATTTACTTATTCCCACAAAATTGTTTTCTTGGTCTGATAGGCAACACTTATAAAAATGTTTGTCATATACCATCACAGATGTACAGTGCCGACATGCCGTATTCTGATTTGTAATATTCATGTATTTTAATTGGTATATATACTTAAATTTTCACCTTTTTTTTAACTGTGATTGTTGGGTTTTTAGAACATAAATAGTTAATTATTTTATTTTCTAAAAAGCTTATTATCACTTTCTCAACCAATTCTTTCCTTAAGTCTAGTGATCTCCCCCAATCCTTATTCAATTCTTCAGAACAATTGATGAAAATATGAATAAGCAAATTCAGCACCTTTATTTTGGAATTTGTTTTACATTCCATTATAACATCTAGTTTAAAGTGCTGCATAAATCCTATAGCAGCCATTCATTAGTCAAGATTAGTAGAAGTTGATATTGACCATATCACAAATTATTATCAGGTACATTCCTTTAGTAGCCTTATTCCAAAGCTATTGTCTGTAGATGATGGTTGTTTTTTGTTTCTTATTCCTTGAGATCTAGAAGCAATATCTATTACATAGGTTTCTCTCATTAACTTGTTAGTTCAATAGTCATCTGGCAATTTAACTCTATGATACATAAGAAACAAGCCCAAATGCACTTGCTACCCTTGAGTGTGTGTGTGTGTGTGAGGTGCATATGAATGTACATGTTAATAGTTAATACGAATCAGAATTCGTAAAAAAAAATAATTTTGACCTCTTTAACATTTTCTTATTTGCTTTAGAATTATTTGTATGCATTCTTTTAAGTTAAAATTAAGCACTTATTTGTTGAAGCTGTTTTGTGATTAATTTTTTTAAAGTAAACTAATGACCTGAATTCTTGCCTATTATAGTAAAGATAATATAAACAAGATGCAACCTAGCTATCTAGTTTTAATATTTTAAAATTTATTTAAGCCATTTAGTTTTAGTACTTAAGCATTTTAAGGATTTGCATTCAAATAAGATATCATTATCTGGTTGCAACAAGATAATTGTTTTCTAGGATTCTTATTTTGTATTTTATAACGCAATATTTTTTTTATAATTTATAACAAAACTACAAATTCTGTGCATTTATATTTTACCATTCCTTCTATTAATTTTTTATCCACCCCTTAGTAATATTTGTTTTTCCTAGTTGTATATAGTAAACTTAATATTACGTCCTATTTCAAGGTTCTTAATTTTCCGTAAATATTTTATTCATTATTATTATTGTTTATCTCATTTCAGAATACTACTTTTATTATTTGAATTTGTGTTTGTTAATTTATTCATGTAATTTTTAGGCTCATGTTAATTGGTTTGTCATATTTAAGATTTTCAAATATGTTTAAATAAAATGTCTTTAATATATTTTCACTTGAAGCATGTAGATACTTTTGATACTTGTGCTTTTTTGTAGTGGTTACTGCTAAAAGATTTTATTTTGTTTATACAGTAATTCCTCAACGTTGGCACATTTGAAATCCTCAAGATTTGATTATGCAAAAATACAAAAATGTGAATGAATTTCTCATTTGGGAATGACACATTTAATTATTTGTGAATAAAAAAAGTACAAGTCTAAAGAAATCCATGTACAGTACAGAAATGTGCAAAAACCACTCTTGAGTTCCAAGTACCAAGTATTTTATTCAAATTGATGATTGAGAATTAGATTGTAATTTATTCACCAATAGTTACTAAATTTGAGTGAAATATTCCTACCCAGAGGAGTTTTCATCCATCTCTGAAGTCCATACTGATAGCCTGTATTGAATAGGAATATTAAATTATTACGTATGTTTTCACTGACAAAATATATGGAATGAAAATCAGTTTAAAAAATTGAATTTTTCGTTTGTTTAAAAACATTTATTTATACTTAAGAAAAGTTCAAAGGGAATAAGTCAAAACACTTTTTTTAAGGATGTTGTTGTTCTTGTTTTTCCTATTCCTACTTTGCAACTTTTTGATATATCATACTTATCTATTTGGTTTCCTATAGTTAGGGTTCAAAAAAAAGGACTTATTTGTGCAAAAACTTAAAATCAGCCAATATTGGTTTATACTCTTAGTTCTTTATTTGAAAGATATATATAACCATACAATAATATATAAAAGTGATATTTATCTTTTCGTTTTTTGTTTTATATTATATTTACCTAAATTTCAATACAGTGCAGGTGCATCTGGGCTCAAAGTCATTGAGGAGAAGAGATTAAGTTGCGTAAAATGAAGTTACTATTTCATTGAAAACACTGATACCAATTTTCATACTATGTTGATATTTGTTTTTTTTTAATGTTTTCATTCTAGGTAGAAATATGTTAGTTTTCTACAAAAAATTTATATAAGTTTCTAGTTTGACATGCTTATTTCATTAGTATGAAGATCACAACCGATTGATTGGAACTCTAAAGACAATTAGTTGCAAAAAATAAATGCTATTATTCCACTATTGATTTAAATATAGCAAACTGTTAAAATGTCTTTCATATTTGGATTTCAATAGTAGTTTTGCTTTTTAACTAGAAAAGCCATTTTATAACTTCATTTTATATTTGATTGGGGCAATTTTCATTTGCCCTTTATTATTTTTAGATTCTTACTATTTTAATTTTTTTATAAAACAGAAATTAGTACTCATCTTTTTTTCATTTTTTCAAGGGTATATATTATTACGTAAAGTTTATTATTTCGATGAAAATATATTTAACTCTCGTTTTCTTCATAAAACTTTATTTCATTTTTGATAATTTGATGTTTTGGGCAATTTTACCCATTTTCAAGTCAAAAATGATATCTGTAGTATAAATAACATTGTTACTAATATACATATAAAATTATATATCAGCATTTAAAGAAATAAAACAGCAATTTATAAATATCACCATTAATGAATTAGACCTATACTTACAAAATGATTATAAATCCACTAAAATTTTATTTCATCTCATAAATTGCAAAATTATTTCTTTAAAATTTAAATGTCATATTCAAAAAATCTAAAAATTGTTTTTCAAAATCTAAAATAAAACAATTAAAATCCACGTATAAGAAATAAGAAAAGGCCAAAGATACACTATATGTTATATTAAAAACTTATTTATTATATAATTTCCCTGCGGATAGTCAAAATTAGAATCATATAAAAATTCTTTAAATGCTATAACATTTTTGTCTTGTTTCATTAAAAGTTGAATGCCCACTGCGAGCTGTGAGCTTACATATTATTTAGCTCATAGGGATTAAGAGTACTGTATTTAAAATGATTTAAAGTTTCCTTTTATAATAATCATGTAGCTAAAAATAATTATTTATAATATTTACATAAAAATATAATTTATTTGTTATATCCTCATAATGTTGCCTAATCTCTTTAATATCAGTTTTATTATTAACAAAATTTTTAATATTTTTTGTTATATAAATTGATTCCAAAAATTTACTTATTTTATTATCCTCTACCATATTTAAAATTTCCATTTTCTCATAATCAAAAAAAATGTTTATTCATAATACTATGCCTTGCTAAAGTAGTTGTATTTATATTTTTGGTATTTATTCTATGCTGATTGATTCTATTATGTAACTTTTGAAATATTTCCCCTTTATAAAATTTATGTACATTGCTTACGATTGTTTTCAATTATTTTCATTTTTTATTTTGTCCTTTATATTTTTTTAATTTGTTATTATTTGATAAACCAAACTTTATATTGTGGTCATATTTTTTGAACACATGTTTAATTTTGTTAGTTACCCGTGGGATATATTTTAACTTAAAATAACTGCTCATTTGTATCATATTTTCTGTCTCATTTTTACCTTTATCTCCACTAGTTTCACTGTCATTTTTGACGGTTTAAAAAAAAATATCAGTTATCAAACCTACTTTATTTTATTAGTTTATAGTTCTTGTACTTTTCTATTTTCTCATTAAAGCATTTATTGCTGTTATTTTCAGCATTATTTATCTCATTATAGCTTCTGTATGAAAGCCTTTTTAAAATATTTGCAGTGCTAAAAATTACTATCTAAAATTTTGCAAATTTCTGTTTTTACTTCTTTTAAATATTTTTCATCAGATAATGTTATTGCTTTTTTAGTTAGTTTTTTTTTTTTTATGGTTCAGATGATTCAAATAATAATTAAGAATTCTATCAGTACTATTTCTTTTTTTGTTCATATTGGCTCCATTTTATTTTTATCAAATATGATATTTATATCCAGATATCTTACTTTTTTATTAGTAGGTTTTTCA